ATTAATACTAGCTACTAGTCTTGCACGATATGTAATTTTATTTCGCTATTGTACTTAACTAACTTTAACTTAAACACTAACTTATAGTACAAGGATCACTACATTCATAACGTATTTCATCAAATTCACATTTTTACATACATTTAAAATTAAGAGAATACATTGATAATAGTCACCACTCAAAAAGTAGCCGCAAATATGTTTAATTTGAGATTGATATAAGGTTGGCTGAGAAAAATGGTCACACATTAATTACCAGCTGTTAATAACGCGAATTATCAAAAATAAAGTAAAATAAAGTAAAGTCGCAATGACACTGGTTTGACAAGTGATAATGTGTATATTATTTTATCTAACGACGCATGCTTTAAAATCTAACACAACTGACACTTTAAACTAGTAGCGTTGAGCGACTGGTGTTTTTTATTTCTGTAACTGAAACCCTCATTTGTGAATTCAGTTTTTTTTTAAGTATCCATTGAGAAGAGCGGCACTAAACGCACGTTTTTCGGATGTTTTAACCTTCCGACATTCATTTTCATAGTAACCGGTTTATTTACAACGATAACATCTAATTTTCGACAGATCTCTGTCTCTCTTGTTATTTATCTGTCATCACTTCTGTGATTTTCAAACTGTCTGTTGTGATTGGTTCGGTTACTAGTACCACTTGTAAACGCACTTACCAACATCACTTTCCATAAATTAATTACTATTTAACTGGGATTAAGCCACAATTAAAGATAAAAATACGTTTATTGACGTTTCAATTTCCACTTCGGAAATCACATACCTAATAAAAAAATTTAGATTTCCGAAGTGGAAATTGAAACGTCAATAAACGTATTTTTATCTTTAATTGTGGCTTATTCCCAGTTAAATGCTAATTAATTTAATATGCCACAAGAAAATAGCTTCAGAACAATATCACTTTCCATGTCCAATACTTTTGTTTTGATTGAATCGATAGAAATAACAATCTCAACAACTTTTTTTAAAGCGTCCCAAATTTCTTCAGCGGTTTTTGCTTGTTTTATATGTATATATAACGATGGATCAAGCAAAAGAACTAACTCGGCTTTAGATGTTTCTTGTTTATCTACTTCGGTTTCAGTTCCATCCAAACACATGGACAAACCTTCTAGAACAAAATAATTTTGCACTGCAAAACCCAATCAGTGTAATTTTCGCGGCCTCATAACTTTGGCACCGTAGACATGTAATTCACTGCTATTGTGAACCTTAACATTTACTATAATAAGTATAGTATAGTATACAACGGTTATCTATTTACCAACGGAAAAAATGGTCTGAGTCACTATACCCTGTTAAAACTTACAAATGAAACGAACCAGTTGAGTATACGGTTAAGAATACTTTATTTTGTTCCAAAAGTGAATACAATTGACAGTTTATATTGTACCAATAACTTCCTGTAAATGACATATGGCGCTAATATTTAAATTTTGTTTACTTCATATCAATATTTTAACAGAAAACAGTCACAGAATACTTGAGTCAGAACACAGTATGTCTCAAAAATAATTGAGAATTTCCAGAATCTTTAATGACTCTTAGCAGTTTTCTTAATTACAACTGCTATGAATTTGTGCGTCTAAGTAATATTTTTTTACATTTATTCTAATAAAAGAATAAGTAAAATGACTGCATAAAAATCAGATCAGATTTAAGAATTATAAATTGGATATTCTACAAAAATATAACAATGATATTAGACGAGAAAAACTAATTTTTAGAAGCGACAACGGTGTATATTTGAGAGCATGTGTATTAAGATCCATATTTGCCAAACCTATCAGCGAAGTTAATCTCGTTCGAATATATTTGTATTAATCGCGTCCCAATATCCAAAACAAAGAAATATATTACAATTCCTAGTATCATTAACAACTGTTACACTATCTAGATATCAACAAGTTTTACTATAACCGCTTCCTATGATTAAAATTTAAAGAATGTGTCTGGTTGAAAACTTACAATTCATCAAATATTCAAAATCGCGCAACACTGTAAGACTTGGTGTCTTGTAAAAATGTTAAGATTTAGATGTGAAACTAACATCAATTGTCCTTGAAATTTTTTTAATAATTAATAAAAAATTAATTAGAACTGACCAATTTCTGGATATATCTGACCATTGGAGATTAATTTGTGATCTTTCAGGTGGTATAATTATATTTCAGAAATACTAGCTGTAACATAGTGATTTAGGGAAACGCGGGAACCTACTGTTCTCCTAGTATTTTTAAAATGTTTATTGCGGCAAGGCACTGCAATCCTGGTATTTTTAAAATTTTTAATGGACTGCGCTTGCGTGCTAAGGTGATTGCAACTTTATTAATTATTTTCACCCCTAAAACAACCTGACCAAACTCTCAATATAGCTGACCATTTGTCAGCGTTTTAATCTCTATCGAATGCAGTCATTTTTTTTATAGATTTCGTTCAATGAGGTGCCAACATCTTTTTTTGTCCTTGAAAATTTTCAACCCTTAATAAAAAATTAACCAGACCTGACCAAAAGCTGAAACCAACTGACCATTTGTGACCAAAACGTGACCATTCAGACGGTATAATTATTTTTACGAAATTCGATCAATGAGGTGCCAACAACTCAAGCTTCAGCCTGACAGATAATCAGATGATCTCCTCGCGTTTCTGTTATCCGGCTATGAAATTTGTCGGCACAAGTTAAATCGAATTCGGGTTGGCGGAATTGGAAAGAAAAGTCCGAATTTTTTTTTTAGTAATATGAAATGAATATATATATAAATGAATAGTAAATATAAATATGAAATATGTAAAATGAATTTTAAAAAATACCCAAGTAAAAAATTTAATATTTTTTTATCTTACTTTTTTCCTAATTTTATAAGAAAATATTATATATCTCTATACGATGGAACTGAATAAGGTGCTCGCAATTAAACTTTTTGTATTTAATTAGATATACCTACCTAGGTACTTACTTACCTATATTACCTGCGTAGGAATATCATAATAACGTCTGCCTCGGTGTCTTTTGTCTTCTCTAGGTCTCCATTCTATGAGTCTTTTGGTCCACCTATTATCATTTAAACGTGCTATATGTCCAGCCCATCTCCATTTGGCTTGTGCAATTTTTTCTATGACATCTGTCACTTTAGTCCTCTCTCTCACTATCCTATTTGGTACCATATCTCTTCTAGTTATTCCCAACATTGCTCTTTCCATTTTTCTTTGGGTTACTCTCAATTTATTTGCAGAATGTTTGGTTAAAGTTATTGTTTCGGAACCATATGTTATTACTGGCAGTATGCATTGGTTGTAAACCTTTTTCTTCAAGCAAATCGGTAGCGTTCCTTTTAGAATATCTCGTATCTTGCCAAATGCTGCCCATCCCAAGCCTATGCAACGCTGGATCTCACAAGTTTGATTGTCTTTTCCTATTCTAATTTCATGCCCTAAATAGATATAGCTAAAGACCTGATGTACTTCGTTCCCATCTACCCTCATAACATCACTTGGAACTAAATTGGTCATGTATTTTGTTTTTTCAAAGTTTATGTTCAGGCCTATTTGTTCTATTGCCTGTTTTAGTTCTTCCATCATTTTGTGAGCTTCATTTAAACTCTCGGCTATAATGACAATATCATCTGCAAAGCGCAAGTGGCTTAAGTATTCACCATCAATATTTATTCCCCTTTTAACCTAATCTAGTTTTTTAAAGGCATATTCGAGAGCTGCAGTGAATAGTTGGGGGGAGATGGTGTCGCCCTGTCTAATTCCTCGCTCAATTCTATATTTATCGGTAACATCATGGAGTTTAACAGATGCTGTTGCGTTGTTGTATATATGTTTTATCAAATTTGTATATCTATAGTCTACTCGGCTTTGTTCTAATGCTCCTAATACTGCCGGTAATTCCACGGTATCAAAAGCTTTCTTGAAGTCTATGAATATTAACGTGAGTGGTTTATTATATTCAACAGTATGCAAAACAAAATCCTGAAAAAATTACAGTGATTCCATTTGATTTGATCCAAACGTTGCCCACACCAGTTAGCATTGGAATTTCTTACTATAAACGCCAGTTGTGGACTTACTACGTCTTAGGAGTCCATAATTTGGCTACTAATAATGCTCATATATGTATGTTTGGAACGAGACACAAGCATCAGGAGGACCTCAAGAAATAGGATCCTGTTTACTGCATTATTTTAAAAATGTTGTTACAACAAAAAATGTAATACTTTATTACGATCAATGCGGAGGACAGAACCGTAACATTAAAATGGCTGTCCTTTGCGATATTATTGTGCCATCCTGATATTGTGGTGGAAAATATTGATCATAAATTTTTAGTCAGCGGACATTCTTACCTTGCCTGTGACCAAGATTTCGGAGTAATAAGTAAGCAAAAAAATTTTTTAAAGATATCTACGTACCTGACGACTGGATAAAGGTAATGGCACATGCACGAAAGAAAGCACATTTTACGGTAATAAAGATGACAGAAAACGATTTTTATTCTACTAAGAAGATAGAAAGAAATATAACAAATCGCAAACTTGATACACAAAAATCAAAAGTCCAATCGTTACAGATTCAGTGGTTGCAATACAAGAAAACAAATCCATTTACAATTTACTACAAATACAGCAATAATGCAGATGTTCTCTTTTACTCAGTAGATGCCAAAAAGAGGACATCCAGGGAAATCCATCATATTTTAATTTTATAAAATTTCAAAAAAATGCATATATTCTTGGTTCATGTAAATCCAATATTCAATATTTGGGGTTAGCCCACTCTTGCTCTCAATTTCTTACATGTTTTTAAAGTCATTGATTGCCATTATCGTGTTTGTATAATGTATCTATCTCCTGTACTTTTAAAAAATGTGTTTTGAATGAAAACATACCTCCTATAAATATGTTATATATATATATATATACCTAAGTATTCAAAATTTTCTCTAATAACGTATTTAATCATACCTGTATTGTGTTTGTGGTCCAATACGTTATGTTAAGACGTGGATCTATCACCTCGTCCGAAACTACCAACTCAGTGTTCGGGAAGATTTGCAGCACATTCAAAATTAAATCTCCATTGATAGTAACTTTATTATTGTATATTTGCATGAAATCAGATTCATTTGTACCCAATAACCGCTCACTACTGTTTGTTATCAACGACACAAATGAATTTTCTGAAAGATTTAAGTTATTTCGAACTATCACATTGGCTAAACTTACTGGATCTGGAAAACAACATATTATAATATATTACATTATATAATAATAATAAAAATAACAATGATTAATCATGTCATTTTATTCATGTAGGTACAGAAAATAAACTATTTAATATTGAATGATCTAAATATAATCATAATATTGTCATCTATTGCCCAATTATTTGTGTTACAATGTTTATATACATTGATCACATCTTGTGTAGCCCAACGCACATAACACTGGGCACCAAAGCATACCCTTCACAAAAAGGATGCACTTAGTGAGTGCATACTTGAGTGAAATACCTGAAAATGTAGGTATAGCTGACTTTGCTTTGATTTTTTTTAATTTCTAATCATAAAAAGTATATAAAACATTTTTCAATAGTTCAAACAAAGGTTGTAGATCTTAAAAAGTAGGGGGCTTCAGACAGTGATATTGTGGGTAAATTTAAGGACTCGGCTTGACACGGACATCAAAACATTCTATTACTACTCACACTATTGTAGTTCAGTCTGTAAGTGGATTCATGTCTTAAAGAACGCTTAAAGTGAAAAGTTATGCAGGCCATTCACGTTCCGACTTGTGGTACGACTAGTGGTCCAACTTCTGCAGTTGGATCTGAAATCGGACCGTGAGTGGGCTAGTTGGATTAGTTGGACTAGTGGTACGACTAGTGGGACGACTTGAAGATCCGACATCCGACTGGCGACGAAGTCGGAGCGTGAATGGTGAAGTTGGAAGTCGGATCACGGGTTGGATCGAAAATTTCCTCAGTCAGTTGACTTTCGGCACCTGTTACGTATGAGATTTCTATGAAATACTTTACGCAAAGATCTCTAGTTCGCGAATATTTAATAGAAAATAAACTTTCAATTGCACGAAAATTACCTTTTTGTTAGGGCAAATCATTTTCCTTTCTGTAGATCTATTTCGGACATTCCTATACAGGTAAATTTCCGATACTCCGGATTGGCTACGGAAGAATTATCAACAAACAATGAAAATTAAATCATAGTTGTAGCAAAAGATCACTAGTTCGCAAAAAAATAATAGAAAATAACTTTCAATTGCACGAACAATTATTCCTATTAAAAATATACGACACACACACAACAAAATAAATCCCAGCTCCAGTTTAAAACAAATAAAATATAAATTTTATACCTATACAAATCTTTAGAAACTATAATTTTTTCCTACATCCTAAAAAGTCATAAAAATCAAGAGTTGAAAAAATTAATTGGTTCAGCCCTAGACAAATAACTAGAGAAACGAAACCTAATTTTTAAACATACATATCATATTATTATATTTTGCGTAGTGTTTATTCGATACATTTTTTGGTTAAGCGATGTACACCATCGTGAAAACAACCTAGAACTGAAGTTGGACCGCTAAATGGATAGAAAGTCGGAGCGTGAGTGGAGACGAACATCCAACTAGTAGTCCTACTAAGTGAGACCACAAGTCGGAACGTGAATGGCCTGTCTTAGTTTTTGGTGTTTGAAAGTCAAATTATTGGATTGAAGGTAAGACGACTTTTTTATTAGAAGATAAGGTAATTAACATTGCTACAAGTTTTAAGTCCATTTATTGCTGTACAACCTGTACTATTCACATTTGTTACTGATGACACTCTTAGGTTATATTTTTACAGTTAGTCTGGACACATCGAACTATCAGACAAACGCAATGGAAAATAGAGACACCTTTTTTGAAATAACGTGCTTAAAAGTTATATTTATTTAGTTATATTTATATTTAGTATATATATATATATATATATATATATATATATATATATATATCCATATATACATGTATATCATGTATATATATATATATATATTTGTTATTCGTTATTTAAAAAGGGTTTCTCTTTGTTGCAGAGGGTCTGAAGATGGTACGAAATAAAAAGAAAGAAAAACCAAAAGGAAATTCCGATGCCGAATCTATGAAAGAATGTGTAGCGGCCATCCTAGATGGTGAATCAATAAGAAATGCTGCCAAAAGATTTGAATTACAATATCGAACTGTTGGTATGTACGTTAAGAAGTTTAGGGATAACCTAGATGGCGAACATGATATGAAATTAAGAAACGATACTAGAAAGGTTTTTACTGACAAATAGGAAGACGACCTTGAGGCATATTTAATTAAGTGTTTAAAAATGTTTTATGGTCTTAACAATCTAGAAACTAGAAAACTAACACATCAGATGGCTAAAATAAATAATATTGACTGTCTTAAAAACTGGGAAGCTCCAAAAATAGCAGGAAAGGACTGGCTATACGGTTTTATGAAACGCTACCCAAGATTATCTCTCCGTGCTGCTGAAGAATGCAGTATTGCACGTGCAATTTCCTTTAACAAACATAATGTGAATGCTTTTTTTAATAATTGTGAAAAATTAATCAAAAGATACCCAGAACTCTGTGACTCATCCAGGATTTGGAATATGGATGAAACAAAACTTAAACTAACCAAGAACCTTCTCGTGTGATTTCGCAAAAAGGCCAAAAACCAGTAGCAGCTGCTGTAAGTGGTAAGAGAAGAACTCTGATTACTACAGTTTTGTTTATAAATACAGCTGGAAATACAATACCTCCTGCTCTAGTATTTCCAAAAGTGATAAATGGAGCACCAAACAGAACCTTGAGTTTGGCTCATCAGTCAGGTTGGATGACCACTTCCAATTTAGTTCATGTGATATAGCACTTTATAAAATGTTCAGGTTCTTCTAAAAAGAGAAAAATGCTTCTAATTTGCGACAATCATGAGAGTCAATTGAGGCAATAGAACCAGCAAAAGCTAATGGGGTGCACATTCTAACCGTTCCACCCCATTGTACCCACATGATGCAACCATTAGATCTGGGATTGATGAAACATTTTAAAACATTTTATAATGCTGCAATTGATTCATGGTTGAAGTCTAACCCAGGCCAACGTTTTGGAATTCATCACGTGGTCGCATGTGTTGGAATAGCACATAGCCGTACCATGTTACCACAGAGCATTATAAATTCTTTCAAAAAATCAGGAATATTTCCAGTTGACAGCCACATTTTCACCGACAATATGTTTGTTCCCAATTTGGTCAGTGAGAGACCTAATCATCCAGACGAAACTCTTCCTGATGAACCTCTAACATGCCAACTAGCTGCAAGTCTACCAACTTTAGAATCTGAAAAACCACCCTCATGTTCCCAAATTTCAAGCGAAAATTTTCAGCAACCAATAGACACTCCATCAACATCAAGCTGCCAAAACTCTACGCCTATGCCCTCTCAATAGCCTGGCTGTTATTTAAGTCCTCAGGAGATACGAGGATATCCAAAATCGAAACTCAATACTAGCTCCAAGAAACCAAGGAAAAAAGGGAAAAGCAGAATAATAACTGACACCCCAAGAAGTGCCAGAAGAAAAGCTTTTTCTGGCAGAAAAACAGATCAATAAAAAAACAAAGAAAACCACCAATTCTAATGCTGAACGTACTAAACCTACGAAAAGAAAACTCCTTTTTGAAGATGAGAAGAATGAGAAGAACTGACATTTTGTCAGAAGTGAATCGAAAATTGAAGATTTTGTGCTGGTTAAATTTAGGACTGTAAAACAAAAAGATGTGTACTATGTTGGGAGAATCTGTGGTAAGTATGATGATGGGGATGTTGAAATTTCATTTTTGAGAAAGTCATCTAACTTAAATTATAAATTTTTCTACCCCATCGTACCAGATATCTCTAGTGCTTCTTTATCAGAAATTGTAGCCCTTTTGCCAACTCCTTCTGAGCAGGGTACAAAACGACAGAAATCATTATTGTTTTTTTCAGTTTCATTGGAAAACTTCAATATGCATAAGGGTTTTATTAAGTATCATAATATAGTTTTAAATATTGTAATAAATAATTTCGAAAACATTTATATGAGGTTGTCATTTTTCCAATTGTGTCTGAAGCTGCCCCATTTCCCCTCTGAAGGTGCCTCTCAAGTGGGGCACCTTCAGAATATTTTCTTTCTTTATTCGGTGAGGTATTTAGAGTGATATAACCAATCAAATTTTTATGTCTGAAGGAGCTCCACTCTCCCCTAATTTGCGAGTTTCTAATTAAATAACTAAACAATTGACTCAGATAGTTTGGAAAAAAAACCTTTATTGATGCAGTAATTTATAAATGTTCATAACTTTATTTTTTGCATCATGATATGTAACATAACTAGGTATTTGAAATCATGGCAACTAATGAGTTATTAAAGTGTGCTAAATATCAGCTAGATCCACCAAATCGTTTATAAGTTATTCAATTTATTTATCTTTTAGTGAAATTATTTAAACAACTGTACTTGTACAAACAGTGACTCTATAGGTATTTAGCACATCTCAATCGATTCTTTAAGGCTTTAATTTTAAGATGTATTAAAAACATTTTGACATTTTAACCAATTGGTGATTAAAAAAACCGTTTGAAAAAGGGGCTGAGTTTTTAGCTTATAAAAGCGTATATCGGATTGGGCGATTCGCATCTAATCCTGATATCTAATAAAGACACATATTAAGAACGACTTGATTTGAATCGTACTTATTATAATTAGTAAAAAGAAAAACAAAGTTTCTATATAATTACCTGTTACCACTTCATCATTCTTAATAAAGTATAGGTTATCTGGTGTAAAGTCTTTTCCATTAACTGTTTCTGCAAGAATATCACCTTCAACAATTACTTCTTCGATTGCAATATCTGCATCAATTACTTGATCGGTTGTTACTGTTAAAAGACTGTCCACAGAAATATTGTTAATGTTTGTGACATTCAAGTCCGTAACTTTGATGTATGTAACATTTAAAGGACCTAAAATATTTAATATTAAATAAATAATAGGAAATTAATATAAATCCTCTTCAATTTAAGTCCATCTTCAGGTGCCCGATAAAACATCAGTAAAAAAATTCACAGTTGTTAGACGTTTTCAGTCATGCATCATCAAGTTACATTATTTGACCGTGTCAAAAATAAATAAATTCAGAATAGAACCGAACCAAATTTATAATTGGATCCCTTCTTCTTCCTATGCCGTCCCCATTAGCGACCACATTTCTAAAGGTTTCTCTGTGTTTTGCAACGTGAAATAATTCATCTACAGTCATGTTTGTCCAGTCTTGAATATTTCGCAGCCATGACTTCCTCTTTCTATCTATTCCCTTTTTGCAATCGACTCTATCCTGCATGATGACCTGCACAAGATTATATTTATCATTCCTCAGTATGTGTCCAAGGTATGCAGTCTTGCGTACTTTTATTGTTCTCAACAATTTTTTGTCTCGACCCATCCTTCTCAGCACTTCCTCATTGGTGACCCTGGCAGTTCATGAAATTCTCAACATTATCCGGTATATCCAAAGTTCAAAGGTTTCAAGCTTCTTAACTATTTGTGCTTTTAACGTCCATGTTTCTATCCCGAACAGTAGTTGTGACCAGACGTATTCAACAAACCTCAGTCTCGGTGCAGTATTCAGATTTTTGTCACAGAACAATTGCTTGAATTTTAAGAACGCTGCCCTTGCCAATTTTATTAAGGGTTAGTGTTCATTATTGATTGGACTCCTTGATAATTGTGTCCCACAAAGAAAGAATGAGAAGCCTGTCAGCAAAAAAATTGAAAATAATTTATCAAACAGGCGATAAGGAGAAATTTGGATGAAGACTCCTGGAATGCTAAAAAAAGAATAGCCTTAAGGATGAGAGAAAAGGACAGGTGAGCTGTAAAGAATCGCTAGAAATATTTATATCATAATCTTCATCATCATCAACATCATCATCATCATCATCATCATTCTCAGCGCATTCTACCGATTATGGTACAGCCTCCCTTACATAGTCGTTCTTCACTTCTGCCCACGATTGTCTAATATTCCCTTTTCTGTGCCATGTTGTACCGGCTAATTTCCTAATGCCATAGTCTTATCTTAAATTTGGACATCTTCTTGGTCTCAAGACGCCTCTTTTACATCACAGTATAATTTTAGTGGACCATCTAATTTTTCTCCCTAAATGTTCCGCCCACTACCATTTTCAGTTCAAAGTTCAACATAAAAAGCTTGTAGATATATTAAAAAGCAAAAATATTCAAAGTCGTGATCTGAAAATTATATCTAATTTATATTGGAATCAAACTGCCAAGGTAAGAGTTGACAGCCAGTACACCGAAAATATCAAAATACAGAGAGGAGTCCGCCAGGGTTGCGTGCTGTCCCCACTACTTTTCAATGTCTACAGTGTAGCGGTATTTCAAGAAGCGCTCTCAGACTCAATAGAAGGTATATCTATCAATGGAGAAGTTTTGAATAACTTACGTTTTGCAGACGATACAGTAATAATTACGGATAACAACAATGATTTACAGAACGTAATGCAACGCCTTAATGAACGCTGTCATGAGTACGGACTGAAGATAAATTTAAAGAAAACTAAATGCATGATCATGACTAAATCTGCACATGCAAATATCCAATTGACTATTGAAGATACTGCAATTGAGAGTGTTAATAACTATAAATACTTAGGAACATAAATAACATCAGATGTAGACCAAACCAAAGAAATTAAGACACGTATTGAAATAACACGTACATCATTTATTAAACTTAAAAAGTTTCTTTGTTGTCGGGATATAAGGTTAGAACTACGCCTGAGAATGCTTCGATGTTACGTGTTCTCTACTCTTCTTTATGGTCTGGAAGCTTGGACACTAAAACAAGTTCATCTCAATAAGTTGGCCGCCTTTGAATTTTGGTGTTACAGAAGAATCCTACGAATATCATAGATTCAAAGAATGTCAAACATGGAAGTAACTAGAAGGATAGGAAATGGGGCGGAAATAATATTAACTATTAAAAGACGAAAACTTGAGTACTTGGGACATGTGATGAGAGGGCAAAAATACGCATTATTACAACTTATTATGCAGGGCAAAATCCGAGGAAAGCGAAATGTGGGAAAACGAAGAATATCCTGGCTTAAGAACTTAAGGGAATGGTTTGAATGCAGTAGTGCAGAACTTTTTAGAGCGGCAGTCAACAGAGTCCGCATAGCCATGATGATTTCCAACCTTCGATAGAAGATGGAACTTAAAGAAGAAGAAGACTACCATTTTAAAGATTTAATTCTGTGGATTACATCAGTGACCTTGGTTTTCTGTCTGATCCATTCTATTCTGTTTCGATTTCTCTTTGTTATACCTATCATGCATCGGTAGATTGATCTTTGAGTGACAGTTTCGCTATTCTCTCTTTCTTTAGTGTCCAAGTTTTGCAGCCGTATATCATGATTCATAGCGGTAGTATACACTGATCGAATGCTTTTTTCTGCATTTTTACCAAAAGATGCTCAAGCCAGTTTCATTCTTCTGTTGATTTCTTCAGATTAATTGTCCCAGGTATACATACTCATCTACTGTCTTAAGTGCAGTGTTGTTTATTATTACATCTTGGACATCCACTAGCTCATTGTGCATAGTTTTTTGTAGGATTATTATGTTGTCTGCAAATCTTAGATGGCTCAGGTATTCTCCTTCTATGGATAGGCCTGTGTTCTACTAGTTTATTTTGCTGAATATATTTTCTAGAGTTGTAGTGAAGAGCTTTGGTGATATTGTGTCTCCTTATCGGATGCCTCTGATAGTGGGCAATTCTGGAGTGTTCTCAAATTTTTACCTTAACTTTGTTTGTCTCTATATTTACTAAAGTCTCTATGTACGGTTTGTCAATGCCTTGGTTGGTCAAAGCTTCTATTACTACTTTGAGAATATATAGAATCGAAAGCTTTCTCGAAATCTAATGCTAGCGGTATTTCATATTCTTTAGCTCTACTCATTAGTTCTCGAAGCGTATCGATATGATCCAGGGTACTGAATCCACTTCTGAAGCCAACTTACTCTCTTGGCTGTGCAGCATCTAATGCATTTGTTAATCCGTTGTTAATGATCTTTATGAATATCTTGTATATGATTGGTAGTAAACTTATGAATGATAATGATGTTTGCGGTATTCCAGTGGCCTGGTATGCATCTTAATGTTAAGCAGTTCGTAAATATGCCTGCTAAGATTTTCCAAGTTTTTTTGCAAGAATATTTGAGCAGTTTCACTGTAACGCCATCTTTTCTAGCTGCTATACCGCTTGTCATTTTTTTAATTATTTTATGTATTTGTTTTAATAATAAAATTGTATTAATTTATTTTTATTAACATAAATACACTGCGCGTCACGAAAAAGAGGCCACCTAGAATTTTGTAAAAAGTTTTCAATAACTTTAAGTTTATACAATTTATTCTATTGTAACTAAATTCCCACAATGCAGAAACACTTTTAGCGTCTTTTAGGCACCGGCAAACGGTGCCGACATTTCAATTAGGGGTAATAAGATTGCAGAATTGATATCAGTTTTAGGACTTCGGATAATGCACGTGCTGTTTGTGCCTTATTTTTCTTGGAATATGGCTATTCTGTTTTTCAAAAACCTTTCACTAGTGTAGAGTTGTTCAAAGAGTAAACTTGTGCAATTTTTAAATTAAAAACTATGGTTGAGAAATTTGCTAGATCTGTTCAAATAGAGACTGGATCTCACGAACGGCGACCAGGATCAGGCCCGAGAAGAATCACGACGGCCAGAGAAGAACGTTCTTTACAATGCACTTCTTTGCAAAATCGGTTCTTTATGGCTAGATCGATCCAAAACCGTTTTCAAAATGCTCACGGGCGGACTTTATGCACTTCTACCTTGAGAAGAAGGTTGAGGGAATTTGGACAGGACCTTTGTTAACAGCAGCACATCGAAAACGCCGACTACAGTTTGCTAGAGACCCCGAGCATTGGACGATAGATGATTGGAAAAATGTTTTGTTTAGTGATGAGTCCAGGATGGTTCTTTATGGCTCAGATGGTCGCATCAAAACGTACAGAAGACGTGGGTAACGATATGCTGCTTGTGTTCGACGAGTACGTGTTGCTTTTGGAGGAGGTTCGGTAATGTTTTGGGCAGGTATTTCATTCAAGGGCCGTACTGATCTCGTATTTATTGATAGAGGAGCGTTGAGTGCACACCGATACATTGCCGAAATTCTAGACGAGCATGTAATGCCCTTTGCTGGGTTTGTCGGCGAAAACTTTATTTTTATGCAAGACAACGCGCGGCCACACGTAGCCAGGATGGTATCGCAATATCTGGAAACTGTCGGTGTGCCAAAAATGAACTGGCCGGCTTAAAGTCCAGATTTAACCCCGATTGAACATATTTGGAACCAACTCATAACGAAGGGTAAGATACAGAATACCTGCTCCAATAAATCGTGAGCAGCTTCGGTTAGCGCTCATGAAAGAATGGGAAGCTTTTCCTAAAAACGACATCCAGAATTTGATCAATTCAATGCCAAATCGAATGAGGAGTGTAATTCACAGTATTAATAATCACGAATTAATTGTTATTTTATAAAGAAAACAGAAAAAATGTACAATGTTAATTTTTTTTATTTTTCAATAAGAGCATTATTTTGGAAGAAGTTGTTTTTTGAGATTTGTTATTTAGAAAAATGCTTGCATACTGCTTTAGAACATATTCTTAAACATTACACAAACATCTAATGTCAATCACTTTGTGGTGATTCGTAAAAATTAAAAAATGGCAAAAATTTTAGGTGGCCTCTTTTTCGTGACGCGCAGTGTAGATGACTAATAATACTTTTTATAAACATGGGCATTTGACTTAGTTTTTTAAAAGCACAAATCTAAATACCTGTAATTTCCTTGTCAACAGATGTTCTAAACACTGAATTTTTAAATTTCTCCCAAGGTACGCCATTGATGGTTTCTACTTCTAAATCTTCAGTTTCTATTTCAAAATCGAAATGATTTGGAGAATCAACTTCTTTTGCTACAGCAGACAAAATACTGTCTGGGGTTTCCTGTAATTTAAATAATAATTTAAATACATAAAAATGTAGATATCTTCCAGATACAGACAGGAAATTTATTAAAACTCGAAATTCTAGAACTAGATCGTTACCAAAAGAATAAATAAAATTGGAATAGGCCAAAATATTTAATTTTTACTAAAGATCAATCGTAAACAAATTTTCGGATAATTATGAAACACTTACTGTATTGATTGATTTTGTTCTTGCTTCAATAACGTGTAGGTTTTTAAAAGTTTTGATACCTTTAATTTTCTGAGGACGACTTTTTGTATAAAAATTACTGATTTCCACGCTGTTAATGGTTTTGGCGTTCATACCATTAGCTGTAAGATTTTCAATAAAAATAGATTCAATAAAACTCTGATTTCCCCGTGTCAATAGCATATCTGTAATTAAAAATTTATAAATAATATTTAATAGCACGGAAGTAAACAAAACTACCTGTAAATATTGGATCGCTTCTTTTAGTTTCCAAGTGATTTGTTGTCAAAGATGTAATTTTACTAACTCCTGTAATAGTTTGTGGTTCTTTATATTTTAACCACCGTTCAGGAGTCCACCGTTTTCCATTAATTGTTTTAATAGATACATTGGAAACGTTTATATTTTCAACGACAACTTTTCCCTTAACTGTTAGATATCCATTAACGATCTAAAAGGTAATAAATAGACTTCGGCAAATATGCAAATAAAAATGTAGAAAATATGCGCATAAATATGCACGTGTTTACCCGAAAATATGCAAATATTTAACAAAATATGCATACAAATAAATAAAAAAATCGTAAAATAGTAACAATTTTATTTAAAAAAAAAGTGTACATAACTAAATATTTCCTACTATTCATTAAGATTTACATTTATTTTAAGTAACTACATCATTTTTAAGTATGAATAAACTTATTGAGAATTATGGTAACAATAAATCACCAAGTGGTGTTCAAAATTTTCTAACAAAAACTTGTGGCTTCTGTCTGAGTACATATATTTATATATGGAAAAACTTCGTTCAACATCAACTGATGTAACGGGAGCATTTTTCAAACTAACCAAAACATTTGGTTCTGTACTTTCGAACAATGACAGTTTTGGTGATTCTAACTGAGTAATTGTTTTTTGAACAAAACTAAAATTTGATTTTATAAATGAAAGTTCTTGTTGAAGCAAGTTACTCTGAAAAGTTTGTTTAGAATCCAAAAGAGATTGGGAACTTTCATCTGTTAACGTATCAATTATGTTCTTTATTTTAACAAAATGATCTGCATAAAAATTAGCTGCTTCTAACCATGTTCTCCATCGCGTTAAAATAGGTTGTGGTGGAAGAGGAATGTTAGGTAGCATTTCTTTATAAAGTTGAATTCTTATAGGAGATTTAAGAAATACTTTTTTGTCACTGGATATCATGGTATTTACAAGAGGAAACTTTTTTCGTATTTCCTCTGCAACTCTGTTTAATCCATGCGCTACACAAGTAACATGTATTAAATCTGGGAAAAATATTTTTAAATTTTGTCCTGCTTTCACCATATAAGGAGCAGCATCCGATAAAATAAGCAGTAATTTATTAGAAGGAATAGTTGTCGGAAGAAAAAAAGTTGCTAATGTTTCTTGTATAAAACGCGAAATTGTTAAAGCATTTGTTTTCTCAAGTTGCTGGCATGAAATAAGATGAGATTTTGGTAAGGTATCTTCTTTAAGAACACCAATCAATAAATGATCAATATACTTTCCTGAGGAATCAGTGGTTTCGTCTACAGATATGTAAAAATAATTATCTGAAATTTCTTCCTTAATATTAATTAACACCGACGAGTATAGCCCGTTCACATTATTTCTTCTTAGAGACCGATCACTTGGAACATTAAGTTTGCAATATTTTTTTAGAAACGAACTAAAATTTACATTTGCTAATTTTGAAAGCGGTATGTTTGCAGACACTAATGCGCGACACAAGTCTTCATTAAAAGTTTCTTGCTCATCTAATTTTTTTGAAGTAGACTGGAAACATTTAGCCATTGAAGTTTGATGTTTTCCTCCTATTTTTTCCTTTTTTTGCAATGTGTGAAGCAGTTCTCACATGTTGGTCTATCTGAAATTTCTTCTCACATGCTATCTATAAATAAAAATAAAAACCTTTATTTTAACCCAACCTTTAAAATATAAAAATATACAAGGTGTTTTTGGTGAATCAAATAACTGGTTTGGAAAAAAAACACTCGCTAAGTGTTTTAAATACAGTATTAATCCACAAATTAGTTTTTGTTACTAACCATTAGTACATCATATAACTTATTTTAAAATTCAACAAAAGTTTTTTTTTTGTTAATTCAATTACAATAAAAATAGTTGTGTTTTAGAATAGCTGACTTCATAAAAAAAAGTAAAGGTGAAAAATTTTTCTAAATACACACCATTGTATTGTACCATGGACAATTTTTTCTCACTAAAGGAAGCTATTTTTCATTTAAAAACAACCTACGAGTACTAAATTTCAAGTAAATACGTTTATTGGTTTTAAAGTTATTGTTGTTATTAACTAAAAGAATTTAATTTTTTTTAATTTTAACACCCTGTATCTCGAAAAGTAAATAAGTTTGACCCCTCATTAACTATATCGTTTTGTTCAATTTTTCGAGAAGTATCTACAGTCAAACGTTGTAGGTGTCATTTGGAAACACCCTGTATGTATGAAATATTAGATATTTAATAGAAAATATTAGATACTTACAATTTTGCCACAGACTGAACAGTAGATTTTTCCCATATCCATAGACAGCTCTTTATAAGGTTTAATCCAAGTTGAAGCACTGGTTGTTTTAGGTATTATAAAATCACAATCTTCCTTTTTGTTACGCACAACGAGTGTTTACGCTTTGAATATCAAAACAAAAATGATTTACAAATCTGAGCATCAAATTAGAAATGTTTAGGTACCTAATTCAATAAACTGGGAGATTTTGGAAAATCCCTAAATTAGGAACAAAACTATTAGCCGTTTACCTGCTGTTAAGATACAATAAATTGTAGATAGATTTGGTAATTAGTTCATAAAATGCAAATGAGCGAACCCTTAGCGATTATCCAATAACTGAATGCCTCAGTGACCGAGACTTTCTAAGAATGTTGAGGGCTACTTAAATTGATCTTCTTTGAAATTGTAAATGTTTTGTACCTGTAGAGATTACGTACTTAGATCATTTCTTGATTAAAATGACTACAAAATTTTATACAAGAATTGAAATAAATTGGTATGTTTAAAAATTTTCAAATACAGTATAAAAATCTGAACTTTTATGCACTTTATGCAAACTTTTATACAAATATGCCAAAATATGAAATATTTGCATAAAATATGCACAATATGCAAAATATGCAATATGCATATTTGCCGAAGTCTAGTAATAAACGTAATATAGAAAAGAGTATTTTAAGCCATAAAACGTTTTATATCATTAGGAATGTGAAACGCTGAAAATTCTTTTACAAATTCTGCAGAATCATATGTACTCGCCCTGCTAACTGCCTGAAGTGGACCATATGTGTATTATAAAGATACCAATAAAAAGAGGACTGAAGCAGAGGTGTGCGCTGTCACTATCAATCTTTAATAGAGGGTATTCAAAAACTCTCCTGACAAACGCAGGCCGGAGATTCCTTTGATAATTTTAAGACAATTCAATCCAATTCACCTAGTCCGAAAATGCTTTCCAAGGGAGCTACAGCTCTTTGAAGATGGCGCTTTGTAATTAGTTTTTGTTAAATACTCCCAGAACGCGTCTATTTAGAAAAACGAAAACTGGTACGATTATTTATCATCCATAGTTCAATTGATTCCATCAATTGCGAATTTCTAGTACTGGTCATAGGCGTCCTTTTTGGTTAGGTCAACGATTTTTTTAACGCATAACTCTTTTGTTTTTATCTTTTAAACATTCATTATACTAGATTATTAAATTTTCAGGTATTTTAGTACTAAAAGGTACTCCTACTTGAAGTCGGTAAAATACACCGTTTTCTAGAAAAATCGATTTGAAAATTGTTCGTTTTTTCGTCATGAAAGTTACATTAATATGTAGCTTAACATCTGGATAAGGAATTTTATAAATTATCTTTTGTTGCAATAAATGCAGCATATAATTCGTAAAAAAAGTTCAAAATCAAATTGAAAAAAATTTTATGTAAAAGATTTTAAAACAAAGTATTACGATGGAGTAAAACTAATACAAAAGAACCAGTAGATTGTTACAAAAGATGCTTGATGTTGAGGATCATTAGTTTCTATGCACAAATTTTCCCGTTTGCTTAGAGAACGCCGAATTCATGCAAAATTCCAAAGTTATTTCTAAATTCGTTGCAAGCATCTTGTGACCTTAGCCAGAGTTGTGAACGATTTTGTATTGAAACAGAATAAACACAATAATCGCAAGGATTAAAATCCGGCGACCTCGCTGGCCAATCAACTGGACTGGCTTTTCCAATCCAGTGGTCTTCATAGTTGATATCAAGTAAGTTTCGTAAATTCCTGCTAAAGTGGGCCTGACAGCCGTCATGTACAAATCATAAGTTTTGTCAAATATCTCAAGTTAAAGGCACATCAAAGACGACTTACTGATGCTAGACTGGTTTTTAAGCTTACGCTTATACCAAAAACAAGTTCAGAAATCCGGATCTTCGTATTCAATTGTCAGACATTAAGCCTAGTTTAAATACTATTATAAGAAAATGTGCGAAAAAATGTCATTCTTCACATTGAAATAGTTATAGTTATTTACTTAATTGTATGATTTATCTTTGTATAATAAATATTTTGTATTCCTTATATTATTTTTTATTCATATTGTCTTGCTTCTTTCACAGTCTTACATGAAAAATATTCAAACTACAAGGTAATTTTTTACTTATCATGATAAGATTCCGCCAAAAAAAATATCGTCAATTAGGGTTCCGCCAAAAAAAATATAGCCAATTAGGGTTCCGCCAAAAAAATATAGTCAATTAGGGTTCTGAGACCAAAAAACATTGGGAACCCCTGCTCTACACCTATACCGAGCGGTTTAACTCTATAAGAAGAGCATAAATCGACTATTTTTTTGCATTTCTACCGCACGAAGACTTTTTGTTCGATTCTATATATTTTTGTAAGTACAGATGTAATTTTAATTTTTTCCAAGTAAGCCGAAAAGTGTTTGTTAACAAATAATCTATAACAAAAAAACAGTTTCCCGAATCGCTTTGAGTTAATTTTTTAGGCGTATCTCATAGAAAAAAAAATTTCCCGAATCGCTTTGAGTAATTTTGAGAGAAAACAATTTTTCAAATCATGATGATTTTTCGAACAATGCTTCCTATTCGAGTTATTTGCAATGTTTTGTTGAACTTGACTTTTATTACTTACCAAACTATTGCTGGTTGGTACAGAATAATGAACTACTGATGTTGATACATTGTTGATCTTTTCCTTAAATTCCTTTATTAGAGTTCCAATTTCAGGTTCCTAAAATTATATTTAGCTGTATTCTAAATTATATTTACTTTATTTTATTATTCCTAAAATTATATTTAGCCATGAAAATCAAAATTATCAAAAATAGGTAGAAAATCCTTACTATATGCAAACTTTCCATTAATATTTCTTCACTAGGCTTTCCAGCTTCTTGTTTAAATAAGTTTTCTTTTTCGGTCAATTTTATTTCCAAATTTGTAAAACAGTTTCGTATTTCATCCCTTCTTAGTGAAGACAAGTCTAAAAGAGCAACGATGAAGATTGATAAAAGAAGGTTGTCCCTGTATGTATTATTATTTCATGCATTAATAGTGTTACGATTAATAAAGACTCATATCTAAACTGTAAACATCTTTTTCTAACAAGTATTTTCTAGTAGATTCTCCGCTCCGATAAAAAACCTGACTGCTGTTCCATCCTATTCGGGAAGGTCAACACAGGTCGCCTCCGAATACAAAGAGATTCCAGAATAGCGGCTGTTTTATATACATGGATGATTTTATTGTAAACAAGTTACAAGTTTTAGTCTAAAATTAATATCGAGTCGAGTTTTGAAATGTAACGCGCGTATTGTCGGGAATATAAATTGTAATAAATGTTGTAAATAAATTATATAATTATAGTGTAAAATAAATTAGTGTAATATTGTATAAATAAAGACTTTAATAAACTAAGTGTTAGAACATTTTTTATAATAAATAAAGTTAATAAATTAGACTTACAAACGCAGTTCAATAGGTACTGTAATAACAATATTAAATAGTGCAATTACCGTTTTGTATCAGAGACATTTTTGGTGCAAACAATTTTATTGTAATCGTTTTATTGGATTCTCCTACCACGTATATTGTGTCATTTATCCCTATGTTAACATCCAAAATCCTAGAAAAATTTGATTTATACGTTACTTGAGTTTCTTTTCTAATATTTCCCAAATCTAAATTATATATATCAACATGGTCCTAAAAAATACAATGGATTAACAATATTTTAAAATCTTCCAAACGTAACAAAATAAAAGTAAAAATGAGGAACACGTAAATAGAACAATTTAGGAACACTACAAGAATATAGTGTGACAATAAAGAGAATTTGAAGGAAAGAAGAACAAAATAAGAAACAGGAATACTTCAAATTATCATATGTTCGCAGTAGACGAGACTAAGAAAAAGAAATAGTGGAACCTGCTTAATTCGAACTTCTCTAATTCGAAATATTCTTTAATTCGAATTTTTATTCTGGTCCCTAGCATTTCCTATATAAGCAATGGTAAAAAGTCGTGAATAATTCGAATTAAATTTTGGATAATAATAATTTGGATAATAACTAAAATGCCAATTTCATGCTGGAAATTTCCGCCAAAAAAAGGGGTAGTATTCTTCCTTGTCCTCACTCGCCACTTATTTCAAGGCATTCAAGACCATTGTACATTGTACCCGTATCTGGTACCTAAAATCCCCCTAATCCAGCATTCCCCTTCAATAAACTTCGAAGAAAGAAAACTTTGACGTTATCGGAAAAAATAGCGGCAATTAAAGAAGTAGAAAAGGGAAAAAAGAAAAAATCTGAGACTGCCAAGGAATTTGGAATTCCTCCTAACACATGATAATTTACACCTACTTCCTCAAGAAGGTAGGTATACCTACTTAAAGAATAAAAAAAACAAGAGTGAAATTGAGTGCGGTAAAGAACGAAAAACAAGCCAAGGATAAGGAGATTCCCGTAAGTGGTAAGAACCAAAGCTGAACAATTTGTTGTTGAAATGGGGAAAAACAACTTAAACACAGGGTGGCTAGAGTGTCTTCAACGCAAGAAAAAAAAATTATTCAAATTCACTTGTCGAGAAAGTGGGGCCGTTGATCAGCAAGAAGCCAACGAATGAAAAAAAAAATTGGAGGAGAGGATCCAGGATATAGAAGAAAGAGATATCTTTAATGTTGACGAGACGAGTCATTTTTTAAATGCACTCCTGCCAAAACACTGGCATTTAAAAATGAAAAATGTCACGGAAGGGAACTAAGCAAAGAAAGAGTCACTCACCTAATTAGTACATGGACAGATCAGAAATACTCATCATAAAAATAATAATGATTGGCAAGTCGGCTAATTCGGTTGTTTTAAGAACTTCAAGTTAAAACCAGTGAAATATGTGAGCAGCGCAAGAGCTTGAATGACTAGGGATCTTTTCGAGAAATGGCTGATAAAATTAGACAAAAAGTTCATAAAAGGAAAAAAAGTTAGTTTGTTTATTGACAACTGTACGGCCTACAACACATCCCACTAATTGAAAATGTAAACGTTACTTTTTTCCTGTCAATATGACTTCAGTTCTCCAGCCTATGGATCTGGGCATCATAACAAATCTTAATAGACGTTTATGGTTGAAAACATATTGACGGAAGATTGCAACTCCCTTAAAATAAAGTTAGACATTCTTCAAGCCTATCGAATGTGTAAGAAAGCTTAGGAGAAAGTAACACCCGAAACGATCAAACATGTTCTAAAAAATCTGGTTTCGTAAAAAAGGAGAAGAACGCAGAAACGCTAACGACACTTTAACAGAGAGCTGCTTTCAGTTGATGGCTGGGAAGACGTAATTTGTGATCCTGTCATCTCTTATGAAGATTTTGTTAACGTGGATGACGATGTTGTAGTGCATGAGAAACAACGAACCATATTGCACAACTTGGACGGTACTTTGAAAGTAAAAATTACGTAAGTCGCTCTATAGTTCACCTTAGAAATTCTAAAAACTAGCTGAAAATTTCGGATTTCTTTGGAAATAATTAAAATCTGCCTTTTTGGTTAATTTTAACAAATGCCCCTATTTTTAATAAATTTTTTGAGACAAAAAGTTTTTATTGTTTTAATGGTGAGTTCTCACTGAGCGATTTTTATCGGCCGTGATTTGGCCGCAAATACTAATGGGAACACCTGTCATAATGACAATAAATGAACATTTTTTATAACTTACAAATGTTTTAATTGGTATACTTGGCCGAATTTTGTTAGTTAATTTTTTTCGGTTAACAAAATTCGGGCAAAACTGGGAACGAAAACATCTGCAAAAGTGTTGATTTTTATCGTTTGTATATGTTATTGTAGGTATCACTGTTTTTTTTTGTAGATATATTTTATATTCGAACTTTTGGATAATTCGAATTTTTCGATAATTCGAATTTTTTTAACGGTCCCCTGAGATTCGTATTATCCAAGTTCCACTGTATCATTAAATATAGGATATTTTTAAGATACGTCGATCGATAGCACCAAAATTCGAATGCTTCCAATTTGTTTAAAATTGGATTTTTAATGTCAATGTCCCACATACAATACGACAGATCACACGTAACATTTCACTACTTTCTTGCGAATATGCATCGACAGGTTTCTGTTACGTAAAACTCGTTTGCAGGTCATAAAATCCGTACGTGATATTTCGATCCTGATTATCATCTCTTTGTCAAAGTCGCAATTTACATTTATCCAGAAGAGAAACCAGACATTGATCTATATTTAATATCTTAAACTGCCATCGACTTTGTCTTTGAATTGTTAATTTTAAGACCTCTTCGATAACCTGCTTCATTCACTAGATTTACTAATGTCTGGAAATCTTGTAAATTGTTTGCAAGAATGGCTGTTTCGTCAGCGTATCTGATATTATTGATTACTACTTCTCTACTCCCTCTTGTCTGTCATCCAAAGCCTCCAAAAAATATCTTCAGAGTATAGATTAAAAAGACTGGGTAACAAAACACAACCCTATTGTACTCTACTTTTGATAGGTAATTTTTCAGTACGACTATCTCCGATTTGGATAGAGACTATTTGATTATACCATAAGTATTTTAGCAGTCTTACAAAGTAGTGGTGAAGTCCTGCTGCCCGCAGGCAATCGAAAAGTGTATCGTATTATACTCGATCGAATGCCTTCTTGAAGTCGATGCGATGAAACAAACATAAACGTTTTTCGGAACTCACAACTTTTTTGTAGCAGAACACGCACACAACATAGTGAATCTCTAGTTCCTAGACCACTTCTAAATCCAAATTTGTTATTGCTCATTCTACTTTGGCACAGAAGAAATACGTAAACGTATCTTATGGCTAGCCCTCCACTTGTGAGAGGGTAAAATTTAGAGAGTGCTTAAACTGCGATTTATAAATCGATGAATTTGCATCTGACAGGACTGATGATCACCTATATGGAGAAGGAGAAACAGGACCTTCAATCCTTAAATCTGAGATAGAAGATGCCATTGCAGCACTAAAAAACAATAAGTCAGCAGGTCCGGACAATGTACCCTGCGAAATATTAAAGATCCTATGTAAATCAGACAAACACGTCCTTGATAATCTAGTTGTACTTTTTAACAACATATATAATAGCGGTAAAATCCTGGAAAACTGGCTGCAGTCAACATTTATTACAATCCCGAAGAACCCAGATTTGTGATGACTACCGGCTTATAAGCTTGATCAATCATGTCACTAAAGCGTTCACTAAGATCATTCATAGAAGAATATATGATAAATGTGAGTCAAATATTGATAGATCGCAGTTTGGTTTTCGGAAAGCACTTGGAACTAGAGAAGCAATTTTCGCTCTCCAGGTGCTTATACAGCGGTGTAGAGACGTTGATAAGGACGTGTATTTGTGCTTTGTAGATTTTAGAAAAGCATTTGACAATGTCAATCATGAACAATTGATAGGTATTCTGCGAATGACAGGTATTGACGACAAGGACATTCGAATTGTGGCAAACCTATACTGGGGTCAAACAGCAAGAGCAAAAATTGACAACGAACTCACTGAAAGCGTGCAGATCAAAAGAGGTGTCCGTCAGGAGTGTATATTATCCCCACTCCTATTCAATTGTATTCCGAGGAAATATTAAACAAATGTATGGAAAATGTAAATGAGGGCATAAAAATAAACGGCGAGTTAACGAACAACATAAGATATGCCGACGACATGGTGATCCTTGCCAGTACCATAGACGAATTACAACAAGTAATGAAAAGACTTTATTCAGTTAGTGAGGAATAAGGCCTGAGCCTCAACTTCAAGAAGACAAAGTGGATGCTGATAAGCAAAAAGCAACAACCTGCTCGACA